TATTCTAGAAAAGGTAAACTATCAGGATGAGGCAAAAGGGGTTGTGGGTACATCGTATTATCATTTGGTTACATTATTTGTGGATGAGGCCTAGCTTAATGACTCAGTCAGAAAATATAATGAGTCCATGGAAACAAGTACTTCATGGTCCAACTAGCAGGCATGACTTGTAAGTACTTCTCCATTAATTTGTAGAAAGGGGATTACTATTACCTGTAAAGTTAGTTTGGACAGGAGAAGAGGCCCTGGCATCTAGAGGGCAAATCAGTTTTATTACTATGCCAAGCTTGAGTGCAAAGTTCAGAAAGATTTCAAATGTTTTGTTCTAATTTATCACTATGAACTCAAAACAGCATTGTGGTTCCTTCAAAAATTAAACAGAATTACTGTATGATCCAACAATTCCAGTCCTAGGAATATACTCAAAGAACTGAAAGCAGGGACTCAAATAGATGTTTGTAGACTCATATTCATAGCAAACTTATTAACAATATCCAAAAGGTGGGAGCAACTCAAATGTCCATTGACAGATAAATGGATAAACAAAATGTGGTATATGCATGTAGTAAAATATCATTTAGCCTCAAAAAGAAAGGAAATTCTGACATATGGTACAACATGGATGCATCTTGAAGCTACCCTGCTAAGTGAAATAAGCAACTGCGAAAAGAACAAATACTGTATCATTCCACTCACAGAGGGTACCTGGAGTAGGCAAATTCATAGAGATGAGAAAGCAGTTGCCAGAAGCTGGGAAGAGGGATAAATGGGGAGTCAGTGTTTAATGTATGTTTTTTGAAAAAATCACAATTACTTTTTCACCGATCTAACAAAAATGGTCAAAACTATAAGATTAAAAAATGGTTAAAAATGGCTAAAAAACCTCATGCCCATCCAGATGATAGGCATTAATACCACCCCAATTTCACAGGTGAGAAAGCCAACGCTGAGTGATATTAAGGGGGTTGCCTATGTAAGTACAGAGTTTGGATTTGAACTCAAATTTGTAAACCCAAAGCTTGTGCTGTTAATTTTATGCTAAATGATCTTGTTCATACTAACTTGGCCAGAAAATCTTGTATTCACTTAGCAATCTTCACTACAACCATATTCACAACTTTGTATTATCAATTGCCATCCAGTCAGTTTCTTCTCTTTATACACTTTGAATTCTCAAGGAAAAGAGGGAACATTTCATGTGGAGCAAGAGAATCCGTGACTGAATGTCTGATACTCACAAACCCCCTGGGTGATACCTGTTCCTGACAGCAGTGTCAGTGCTGCTCTGGTATTTAAAACTTTGGTCAATATAGACAGTTTGCTCTGATCTATGGGGACTGCACATCTTCTGAGCACTGAAGATTACTTTTTTAGGTTAAATTGAAATTAATAGGTTAAAAAAATAGGAATTCTTGGTATTTAACTAAGAAAATATCCAAACAACCATGTTAAATTTGTAAAGCAGTTTATCCTAAGAGACTAGACGTGACAGTACTAATCAATATTTTTCAAAATGAGAAGTCATATTTAGGCCAAAGTTTCTGAAAACATAAAATCAAAATCATTCCCTCTCCCCCGTGAAACCTGGAGAGTGAAGAAAAAAGTGAGGCTTCTATTTTACTGTGTGATACTCAGGTCTGCCTACTCTGCCTCTATGTGTATGTAGTACTTCCCTCTGAAGTGTAGCTCCTGTGAGATGCTCCAAGATGATCTCGGATGCAAACTGAGCCATGCAAGGGAGATGAACTGCCTGTATTAGTTCCAAAGATGAATTAAGACAATGAGGCAGCTCTTCATTTGTCAAGTAAGCAAGATTTATGTTGTTTCGAATGGTCATAATCAATAGCACTGTCCTGAGGCCATTTAGACGACATGCTGATACTGAAACTCGTGTTCCTGGTTCCAAATCATACAACCAAGCTCCTTGGGATTTTGGTGACCAAATGAAACATGCCCTGGTCACAGGAGAATGACAAGAGCCAGTGACACCACAACATAATCAAAATGTTTCAACTTGAACATTTTATTCCTTCCTTTTCACTGTTTGAGTATTATATGTCGCCTGTTTCTTCTTATCCATTTCAGTTTCTTTAACAAATGATTTAGACTTTATTTAAACTTGTTTTAACTACTTTGAAAATTACAGGGTATCTTTCCCTGTGCAGAAGTTCTTTAGTTTACTTAGATCCCAACTGTCAATTTTAGCTTTTGTTGTTGCAATTGCTTTTGATGATTTCTTCATAAAATCTTTGCTCATGCCTATGTCCTGAATGGTATTGCCTAGGTTTTCTTCTAAGATTTTTAAGGTTTGGAGTTTTACATTGAAATCTTTCATTCATCTTGAGTTAATTTTTGTATAAGGTGTAAGGAAGGGGTTCAGTTTCAGCTTTCTGCATATGGCTAGTCAGTTTTCCCAGCACCGTTTATTAAATAGGAAATCCTATCATTAGAGTCAATAGGCAACCTACCGAATGGGAGAAAATTTTTAGAATCTACCCATCTGACAAAGGTCTAATGTCCAGAATTTACAAAGAACTTAAACAAATTTACAAGAAAAAAAACAACCCCAACAAAAAGTGGGCAAAGAACATGATCAGACATTTCTCAAAAAGACATTTATGCAGCCAACAAGCATATAAAAAAAGCTCAACATCACTGATCATTAGAGAAATGCAAACCCAAATAACAGTGAGATACCATCCCATGCCAACCAGCATGGCAATCATTAAAACATCAAGAAACAATAGATGCTGGTGAGGCTGTGGAGAAACAGGAACAATTTTACACTGTTGGTGGAAATGCAAATTAGTTCAACCATTGCAGAAGACAATACGGTAATTCCTCAAGGATCTAGAACCAGAAATACCATTTGACTCAGGAATCCCATTACTGGTATACCCAAAGGAATAGAAATCATTTTGTTACATATGTTTATTGCAGCACTATTCACAATAACAGATATGGAACCAACTCAAATGCCCATCGATGCTAGACTGGATAAAGAAGACGTGGTACATATACACCATGGAACCCTATGTAGCCATAACAGGTAATGAGATCATGTCCTTTGCAGGAACATAGATGAAGCTGGAAGCCATCATCCTCAGCAAACTAAACAGGAACAGAAAACCAAACACCGCATGTTCTCACTCATAAGTGGGAGCTGAACGATGAGAACACATGGACACAGGGAGGGGAACAGCACACCTTGGAGCTTGATACAGGGGAAGGGGAAAAAGAGAATCAGGACAAATAGCTAATGTATGTGGGCTTAAAACCCAGGTGATGGGTTGATAGGTGTAGCAAATCACCATGGCACATGTATACCTATGGAACAAGCCTGTACATTCTGCACATGTATCTTGGAACTTAAAGTAAAATAAAATATACATTTTAAAAAGTTTTTAAAAGATAATTAAACGGTATTGTGTACTTTGGATACATGAATTTTTAAAATATTTCAATAGGTTTATGGGGAGCAGGTGGTGGTTGGTTACATGGATAAGTTCTTGTAAGTTTCAAGATTTTGGTGTGCCCATTAGCTAAGGAATGTACACTGTATGCAATGTACAGCTTTTTATCCATGACCCTGCACACTTCCCCGTGAGTCCCCAAAGTCCACTATATTATTCTTACGCCTTTGCATCCTCATAGTTCGCTCCCACTTATGAGGGAGAACATATGATGATTGGTTTTCCATTCTTGTGCTACTTCACTTAAAATAGTAATCTCCAGTTTCATCCAGGTTGTTGTGAATGTCCGTATTTCATTTCTTTTTATAGATGAGTAGTATTCCATGGCATAGAAATATATCACTTTCACTTGTTAATGATGGGCATTGGGGCTGGTTCTATATTCTTGCAATTGTGAATTGTGCTGCTATAAACATGCATGTGTAAGTGTCTGTTTCATATAGTGACTTCTTTTGCTCTGGGCAGATACTCAGTAATGGGATTGCTGGATCAAATAGACCTACTTTGAGTTCTTGAAGGAATCCCCACACTGTTTTCCATAATGGGTATACTACTTACACTCCCACCAGCAGTATGCAAGTGTTCCCTTTTCACACATTCACGTTAACATCTATTGTATTTTGATTATGGCCATTCTCGCAGGAGTAAGGTGCTTATCACCTTATGGCTGTGATTTGCATTTCCCTGATAATTAGCGATGATAAGCATTTTTCCATATGTTTGTGGGTCATTTGCATATCTCTTTTTGAGAACTGTCTTTTCATATTCTTTGCACACTTTTGATGGAATTATTTTTTTCTTGCTGATTTGTTTGAGTTCCTTGTAGATTCTGGTTATTATTCCTTTGTCAGATGCATAGATTGTGAAGATTTTCTCCCACTCTGTGGGCTGTTTACTTTGCTGATTATTTCTTTTGCTAGGCAGAAGCTTTTTAGTTTAATTAAGTCCCATCTATTTATCTTTGTTGCATTTGTTTTGGGTTCTTGGTCATAAAGTATTTGCCTAAGCCAGTGTCTAAAAGGGTTTTTCAGATGTTCTCTTGTATAATTTTTATGGTTTCAGGTCTTAGATTTAAGTCTTTGATCCATGTTGATTTTTGTATAAGGTGAGAGATGAAAATCCACTTTCACTCTACTGCATGGTGCATCCCAATTATCCCAGTCCCATTTGTTGACTAGGGTGTCCTTTCCCCACTTTAGTTTTTGTTTGCTTTGTCAAAAATCAGTTGGCTGTACGTATTTGCATTTATTTCTGGGTTTTCTATTCTGTCCCACTGGTCTATGGGCATATTCTCTTTTATTTTTTATTGTTTTTATTTTATGTCTTTTTTTTTTTTAACTGTACTTTACGTTCTGGGGGACATGTGCAGATCATGCAGGATTGTTTCATAGATATATACATGGCAAGGTGATTTGCTGCCTCCATCACCCCATCACCTATATCTGGCATTTCTTTCCATGTTATCCCTCCTCAACCTCCCTACCCCAAGCTGTCCCTCCCCAGGCCCCCTGCTGACAGACCCCAGTGTGTGATGCTCTCCTCCCTGTGTCCATGTGTTCTCATTGTTCAACACCCACCTAGGAGTGAGAACATGTGGTATTTGATTTTCTGTTCTTGTGTAAGTTTGCCGAGAATGATGGTTTCTAGATTCATCCATGTCCCTACAAAAGATACAAACTCCTCATTTTTTATGGCTGCATAGTATTCCATGGTGTATATGTGCCACATTTTCCTTGTCCAGTCTGTCATTGATGGGCATTTGGGTTGGTTCCAGGTCTTTGCTGTTGTAAACAGTGTATGGGCATATTTTCATACCAGTACCATGCTGTACCATGCATCTGAGCTGGAATGCACGGTTCCTCATGGCACAGTCCCTCAAGACTTCCCTTGGCTATGGGAGGGAGTTCCCCAACTCCTTGTGCTTCTCAGGTGAGGCGACACCCCACCCTCCTTCAGCTTGCCTTCTGTGGGCTGCACCCACTGTCTAACCAGTCCCAGTGTGGTGAGCCGGGTACCTCAGTTGAAAATGCAGAAATCACCTGTCTTCTGCACTGATCTCGCTGGGAGCTGCAGACTGGACCTATAGCTCTTTGGCCATCTTGCCAGCCACCCTACCTTTTCTTTCTATAATTCTTTCATGAGCTACATGGTATGCAACATACCCCACAGCCTAGGGCTTCATTCACATTCTCCTAACAGTACGTTTTGAAGAGGTTATTGTTTTTATTTTTCACGAAGTCGAATTCATAAGTTTTTTCTTTTACACTCTTTTTACTATTATCTAAAGCAAAATATGCATAACCCAAAGTCACAACAAATTTTTACTTTCTTTTCTTCTAAAATATATACATTTGTAGGTTTTACATTTTGTCTATGATCCACTTGAGTTAATTTCTGTATATAGTGTGAGGTGTGGCTTGAATTTTTCTTTATTTTTTGCTTAAGGATATTCAGCTGATTTCAATTTTTTTAAATAATAAAGACACTATTATTTAAAAGAAGAACAAATATTTACTATACAAACTGGGAAAATAGAGGATATGGCTGCCTCCTGTTCCAGGGAGAAGGCAGAAGTGGGTGGGCAGGGGAAAGGGAAGGGTTTTGAGAGCAACGATGTCTCTTCAGTGGGGGCTCCGCAGGCTAAGGAGAGGCGGGGCTGGGGCTGGCAGGGTGGTCAGCTGAAGCGGTGGGAAGTGCCCCGGTGGGCTCAGTGGCTCCTGTGGGGGTGAAACAGGGGTCAGTAGGGTGAAGGAGTCTGGAGGCTCAGGAGAAGGGAGCAGGGCCCCGACTCTGAGGCGGGCTGCAGTCTGGGTGTGCTCAGAGGTGCATGGTCCCCACCCCGGAGCGGCTCCTTGGGGGATAGGAAGGCCCAAGACATGGAGACATTGCTGCACCTGCTGCTAGAGCTCCCGTGGTGGCCGCTGGGACTGGGCTCTGGACAGCGTACTTCCTGCAGTAGGGCGGGCGGCGGACTAAGGGAAGGCCGAATCTCCCCGAAGACACTGCTGCGGGAGTTCGGAGGATTCTCAGCGGCCCAGGCCTGGGCACAAAGATGGGGCTGTCTCTTGACGGACTTGCCTCTCTACGTCTCCTGACGGGCTTGAAGGCAGAAGGCCTGGGTGCCGGGTTCTGCTTCCTCCGCTTGGCGTCCGGGGCCTCAAACCAGAGTGGCTCGGTGAATTTCCTTTTTCCCTTGTTGCACTGGCTGAGGGCCTTGAGCATGGTCTCCCTGGCACAGGGATCTGGGCGCTCCGGGGCAGGAGAGGCTTGTCGAGGCTCCCCTCTGTGCTCCGGCGGGGCGATTTTCACGGTCACCAGGCTGGGGACAGACGGCGGGTGCCGGGCGTGCCAAAGCCGCCACTTCACGTAGGCCTGGCCGATATCGGAAGAGCCCGGGACAATGAAGCTCTGGAGCGATGGTCTCTTGGAAAAGTACCTCCAGATGCGGGCATTGTCCCAGCCTGGAGGAGTCTTGGGGAGGGGCCGGGTGCGGACCCAGCGCGGCCTGTGGACATAGACGACTTTGTAGCAGTCCTGGACCTGGGAGCGTCGGAAGGGTCTGGAGCGCAGGGCCCGGGGCTTCTGGGCTTGGGGCGGCAGCTTGGCCCGGGGCCAACCCAGGAATTGGCTCAGACAGCTGCCCATGACAGCAGTGTAGCGGTCGGGACCTTTCCTTAGAAACTCGGCTTCCACAAGTTTCCGAAGTCTGCGGCCGGTGCCAAGTGTGCAGAACTTGGTGACCGTGACCGTTGGCCTCGGGACGTCAGTAAGCGCACAAAGCATCACGCGCTGGCACCTGCTGGCCATAGAATCCTGCACGGGGCAGGCTGGCACCTCACAGACTGGGAGGTCAAGGGGTGCAGCTGCAGCGGGGGAAAGCAGCAGCCAGATGATCTGGGGGACCAGGGAAGCTCAAGCCTCCTTCCCTCCCACTGATGGTGCCAGTCACTTGGCTCTGGGCAGAGGGGCCTAGCAGCTGCCCGTAATTTGTGCCTGAGTTTTAAAGGTAGAAGATAGAATTTCTGCCAGGTCCTGAAAACTACGGCTACCTGTTGCCAGAAGGGTGCTCTCTGTGATCAGTATGAAAATGAACACAATACACTTGGATACTCTTTCAAGGAAAAACAAATCATTTACTCGTATCAATAATGGTGATATGTGTTTCATTCTTCTAGGATGGACGTTAATGTCACTTTTTACAATTTTGCTCTTAAGAAAATAGAGTCAGGTTTTGTTTTAGCACTGGTAATGTTGATTTTATGTGGATTTGCTCTAATTTCCGGCCTTCCTACCTCCATGAATAAGTTCTCTCTCAACACTAATTTCTCTCATTTCACTTTTATTTATTTTTTTAAAATTATTCAGTAGTTTTTTGGAAAAGATAATGTTTGGTCATGGGTATAAGTTCTTTAGTGGGTGATTCCTGAGGTTTTGGTGCACCCACTACACTGCCCCAATGTGTAGTTTTTCCTCCCTCACTCATCTCCCACCCATTCCCCCAAGTCCTCAAAGTCCACTGTATCATTCTTATGCCTTCGTATCCTTATAGCTTAGCTCCCAATTCTGAGTGACGGTATATGATGATTACTTTTCCATTCCCAAGTTACTTGACTTAGAATAATGGTCTCCAGCTTCAACTAGGTTGCTGAAAATGCTGTTATTTCATTCCTTTTTAAGGCTGATTAGTATTCCACAGTACGTTTGTACCACATTTTCTTTATCCACTTGTTAACTGATGGCCATTTCGGCTGATTCCATTATGTTTGCAATTGCAAATTCTGCTGCTATAAGCATTCATGTGCAAGTATCTTTTTCATAAAATGACTTGTTTTCCTCTGGGTAGATACCTCGCAGTGGGATTGCTGGATGAAATGGTAGTTCTACTTTTAGTTCTTTAAGGAATTGCCACACTGCTTTCCATAGTGGTTTGTAGTAGTTTACATTCACACCAGCAGTATACAAGTGTTCCCTTTTCCCTACCTCCACACCAACATCTATTGTTTTTTGAGTTTTTTGATTATGGCCATTCTTGCGGGAGTAAGGCAGTATCGCATTGCGGTTTTGATTTCCTTCTCCCTGATAATTTGTGATGATGAGCATTTTTGCATGTTTGTTGGCTATTTGTATATTTGAGAATTGAGAGTTGTCTATTCATGTCTTTTTGATGGGATTATTTGTTTCTCTCTTACTGATTTGAGTTCCTTGTAGATTTTAGATACTAGTCCATTGTCAGATGCACAGTTTGTGAAGACTTTCTCCCACTCTGTGGATTTTCTGTTTACTCTGCTGATTATTGCTTTTACTTTGCAGAAGCTTTTTAGTATAATTAATCCCAGCTCTTTATCTCTTTTTTTAAAGCATTTGCTTTTGGGTCGTGGTCGTAAAATTCTTGCCTAAGCCAATGTCCAGAAGAATTTTTCGGATGTTATCTTCTATAATGCTTATGGTTTCAGGTCTTAGATTTCAATCTTTACTCCATCTTGAGTTGATTTTTGTATAAGGGGAGAGATGAGGGTCCAGTTTCATTCTTTTGCATGTGGCTTGCAAAGTAATGCAGCACCATTTGTTGAATACAGTGTCCTTTCTCAACTTTATATTTTTGTTTGCATGGTTATCATCCATTGGCTGTATTTAGCTTCATTTCTGGGTTCTCTATTCTGTTCCGTTGGTCTATGAGCTGATTTTCATACCAGTACCATGCTGTTTTGGTGACTATAGCCTTATAGTATAGTTTGAAGTCAGGTAATGTGATGCCTCCAGGTTCATTCTTTTTGCTTAGCCTTGCTTTGCCTATGCAGACCTTTTCTTGGTTCAATATGAATTTTAGAATTTTTTTTAAATTCTGTGAAGAATGATGGTGCTATTTTGATGAGAATTGCATCAAATCTATAGACTACTTTTGGCAGTATGGTCATTTTCACAATATTGATTCTGCCCATCCATAAGTATAGGATGTGTTTCCGTTTGTTTTGTCGTGATTTCTCTTGACAGTGTCTTGTAGTTTTCCATATGGAGGTCTAAGAACCTCTCACTATTGCCTTTGCTTGACTCCATTGCTTAAAACCCAAGTACCCTTAGCTGCACACAATCAGAAACTTGTTCTTAATGAACTACATCTTGGGAGGATATAAGCCATAGCAAGGTTCTGTTGGGGTTTCCCTGGGTAGGTCTGTGGTTCTCTATGACTCCTTTGAGAACCTTCATTAATGAGCACAAAGAATTCCCCCTAACTGCTGGGAGCACAGCTTCACAAAGGCTGTCCTGGCTCAGCTGGGTCTCTTGTCTCTGAGTTCTGTGTTGAGCAGTGGCATGAGATCTGGGCAGAGGAGCTCCAGGAGCCTCTTCTGCTTCTGGAGACTATCCTGGGGAATCTCAGAAGATCCAAATGGTCTAGGGTTCACTCTGATGGTGGACCCTTTATATTGTCACAGTTTCCTTTCCTAGGGAACTAGGGTTCTTGCCTGCCCTCCCTTCTAAATCCTTCCCCTCCATCTTGTCCTTCCTTAATCATCCTCTAATTTGAGTCACAACTTCCAAAACTCCAGTCATTCCCATACCACCTTTGCTATTTTTGCCACTTCTGCTATTATAGACTGAATATTTAAAAATGAACTTAAATACATATTTCATAAAAGATTTTATATGACATAAATACACCAGGATCATTTCCCATGAATACAAGGTAATATTAAAATAGATGAAATACTAACAAGACCCTATTAAAGTCCCACTGTATGCCTGAGGCCTACTCTGTCTTTACTGAAAAGCAAGATTAGCAAGTGATAGAGGCATCTTTAAAGAATGGCAGCTTAAATGAAGATGTTCTGTTTGACGAGTCATAAGGATGGAAGGAGGCTTGAAGCAGCAATCAGTGCTCAGGCTGAAGGTCCCTGTTATCCAGTGTAGTTGCTGTTTATTATTCAATGCCAGACTTTGGGAAACACCTCTCTTCCAAACCGGCCTCTGCTTAGAACATACCTTGTACTTTCTTGCCTATCCCAAACTAATCTCTTCCCAGGATTCCTTTTTCCCTGCAGATTTCTGTGGTGGAAAATGCTAACTGTTCCAAGGCTTAAATACGATGGAGTTGAGGTGGAAGAAAGTTTCACCATTTCTGCTTTCCTCATTCCAACCCAAACCATGAATTACCCACCACCTTCTAGTAAAATTCTCCCATGCTTTGAGTCTCATGGCTGAACATTTACCTCTCATCTCACTAATCCCGATGCATGCCTATGATTATCGCCTCTTATTCATCAACAACATGGGCATCAGGCTCATCTTTTAACAGCTCAAACGGAACCTTTTATAGGATGTTTTCAATCTCCAGATGAATGATACAACCAACACCCTAGCCTAATATTTTCTTTACATCTTCCTGTTAACAGACTTTTACTTTTAATCTTACCTCATTCAACTGTACCCACAGCCAAGCACCGAGCCTTGGAGCTGATCCACACGAGCCTAACTTCCAATAGCATAAGTCAACCATGAGCTCCCATCCTGCCAGTGTGTTCATGCCACTCACCTTACCAGTCTTTCACCTGGATCTCAGTGGCCCATTTAGTCTTCATGCCCTTCATTTCCTCCTAATCAGCCTCCTCTGCCCTCACTTGCTTCTCTCCTTTTCCTTGGATCCATGGTTGAAAACTTCCACTTCCATCAGTGGGATCTTCAGAATCCATCACCCTGTCCTTACTGAGACCCATTCTTGCCAAAACCTCATCATTAGATCATGACTGTAAGTGTCTCTGGAGGAAATGCTTGTTTCAGGTTTTATTTTCACACTGGAAATGCATTAGGACTGTGTGTCCCTAACGACTGGTGGACAATCTGCACGAGCTGACCACTGTTCAACTCCTCACCCAACTCCCTCCAGCACATATTCCAAAGTTTCACCCACTTTCTCAAGCCATGCAGCTCCAACTCCCTTCACCTATTGGCTTCACCCTTCAACTGAGAATGCTAAATTGGCATGTGCTAGTTTTACCTCCTACCTTTATATTTGTAAACTTACCTATAAATATACTCATGCTCACCTCTAGTCTCACAGATTAAGATACCTGTTATCCTGGTCAAGGCCAATGCCTCTGTGCTGGTATTAATCCCATCTGCTCCCACCTCCTCTGAAATTCCACTCTACCAATCATTTGAGTCTTTTTCAACCATGGCTATACATTACTATCATCTAGGGAGCTATACAAATGCTATGGATGCCTGAGCCCTGCTACAAGACCAGCTGAATGAGAGTTCTGTTCTGAAGCAGGATCCGCTACAGCTTTCCCCAGCCCAGGTGGTTCTCATATATAGCCAAGGCTCAGAATTACCGAACTGTTTCCTTACGCTCTTATATTAACATTTTCATCTCTTTTCCTATCTGGGCTCACTGCCCCAAGCGTATAAGTGTTCTCAAGTCTGTCATATTGAAAAGAAAATCTTCCTTTAATGCTCTAAGGCTTCAAGGCTTTAGTTCTTGAAACTCTCAAAAGAGTAGCCCTGGCCGGCATGGTGGCTCACATCTGTAATCCCAGCACTTTGGAAGGCCGGGGCAGGTGGATCATGACATTAGGAGTTCGAGATCAGCCTGGCCAACTTGGTGAAACTCTGTCTCTATTAAAGATACAAAAAAATCAGCCTGTCATGGTGGCATACACCTGTAATCCCAGCAACTCAGGAGGCTGAGGCAGCAGAATCACTTGAACCCAGGAGGCAGAAGTTACAGTGAGCCGAGAGCGCACCACTAACTACAGCCTGGGCAACAAAGGGAGGCTCCATCTCAAAAAACAAAAACAAAACAAAACAAAAAGAGTAGCTCTAACTTGAAATTATGGCCCATTAATTTCTAAATCCACTACCAACTGGCTTCAGACCTTGCCAGTCTTTGAAAGCAAATGTCATCAATAGCCTCCACATTCCCACAGTGAGGAGACACTTTGGTGCCATCTTCCTGGGTCTTTGTGCTGCGTTTGCTGCTTTCCTTGCCTCGCCTGTCTGCCTGTTGGCTGCTGCAGCTCTGCTGTCTTTTGGTTCTCCTCCCAGATCCCCAGTGTTCCTTCTGGGTGTGCATTTGCTAGCTTCCCTGTCCACACTGGTGCACCCCAAGGATCAACTTCAGCTTTTCTCATTGTACACACTCTCCCTGAGGGTATCTTTACTTGTGACTTTACTCCTCTTACATGCTGATGACAATTTATATTTCTAGCTTTGATGTCATGCCCCAGCTTTAAGTGTGTAGATACAAATACCCATTGAACATTTCTCCTTGAGTGTTCCGTGGTATCTCAAATTCAATCTGTCTCAAACTCTCCTCATATCTTTTCCATTCCTGCCCTTTAATAACTGTTATTGTTTTTCTGAATTTCCTATCTCAGTTACCAGCAATACCATCTACCATCCATCCAGCCTCCTAAACTAACGGAAGTTACTTGGTCAAGTTACTTAACCTCTCTGAAACAGTTTAGCCTGTAAAAGATGACAATGGTACTATCTTCCTCATATGTTATGGTGAGGATTTAAAATGAGATAATACATGTAATGTACTTAGAGCCAATACCTGGCAATAGTAGGTACTCAACAATGTTATCTGTTATTATTAGACTAAAAGTTCCTCAAAGGGAGGGATGACATCTTATTTATTTTTTCATCTTTAGAACCCAGCACAAAGGTGCTCGAGAAATGTTGATATGAACAAAAATCAAACCAGCCTGGCTTTCTAAGGGTTCTCTACACTGGAAATCACCTGTAGATACGCTATACTGTACCAGGGTGCTGCTACCATCCAAACAGATAATTCAGAGGAGATGGGACACTTAAATAATGAAAGTATACAGTGTTTTTGAAATATTTATTACCAAATAATTGGTTTTAAATTATAACATAGTTCTATTAACTCAATAGATAAAATGTAGTATATCCATAAATTGAAATACTATTCAGCAATAAAAAGGAACGAACTAATAATACATGCTATAAGACAGATGAGCCTCAGAAGCATTAGTGAAAGATGCTGGACAAAAGAGACCACATACTGCATGATTCCATTTAGATGAAATTCCTAGAAAAGGCAAATTGATAGAGACAGACAGACAGTAGACTAATAGCTGGGGATAGAAATGGGGATTAACCATAAATGGGTATGAGGGCTTTTACTGAGATGATAAAAATATTCTAAAACTAGATATGGTTATGGTTGAGCCACTCAGTAAATTGACAAAAACTCACTGAATTATACTTCTGAAACTGGTGAAGTATGCAAATGTAAAATAGACCTCATTATATACATAAAGAAAATGATAATACAGTCCTATTAGATTATTTTTAAAACTATCTAAACATTTTCTAAACATCGAAATAACATATATCTGGGATGAGTGCTAAGCCGAATGAGATACCAGGTTGAGTGAGCAGGAAATGGGACTGTGGCAGGCAAGGCAGCACACACCGTAACCCAAACTACATCAGACCTCTCAGAACCACAGCTCCCCTGCCCACCCGGAAATGGGCAAGGCTCTAAGGTGAACTGGACGGTGTCAGAGCACAAGTTACTTCACCTAGCATGTGAGCCCAACCTCCACAATCATGTTTTTCATTCAGTTAGAAATCAGGCATCTACTGTAGACAGAGCACCATCCTAGCTGCTTGGTATACAGAGATAACCAAGACAGGGTTCTTGTCCAAGAAAGGCTTGCAAGAACAAGAAAGACTTAAACAGAACAAATGCAGTCAAATGCAGCATGTGATTTTTGTTTTGTACTGGGTAGGTGGGGGTTTGAAAAGAGACTGAAATGTCAATTCCACCCAGGGGGAGGGGGGCAGCTCCGAAAAAGCTTCCCAGGGGATGTGACTTGGGAAGGATGAGAGAGTCAGTATAGCCTGCTGGCATTGTGCTAGACGCTGGGAATGTGAGTCCCTTTCCCAACAAAGTGAAAAGGTATTAGAGAAGTAAACAAAAGACGAATGCCTTCTTATAAAGAATATAATTACTGAGAAAGGGAAAGACTAAGAGTTTGGGTAAGGAGGGGTGCTATACTGTGATGGGCATTTGATTTTCACTTAAAGTCTCCATTAAACTGTTCTGTCAATTTTACAGACAAGAAAAGAGAAATGTAACTGAGGGCTAGGCTCTTTCAACTCTGTTGAAGGGTCTTCCCCTTTTCATAATTTCACATTAGGGCAGACTGTATTTGATACACATTAAATATAAAATATGTTTTACTTTCTCTTCTCTTTTTTGTACGTAATTAATAACATAAAAACAAATATGGATATCAGTAAAGGAGCTGCTCAGGGCAGAGAAAGGAGGAAGGAGGCGTCTTTTGCCATTTAAAAGAATCATCAGTTTTCTTTTTTATATAATTGGATTTTAGGTATAAAGTTTTTATAAAACTGTTACACATATTTGACTTTTAACAAAAAAAAAAGCAAATCGAAAGTAAAGGGATAGCTTTGAGATAAAAATCAAATGCAGTTCATTAAAAAATGTTCTTCATAAATAACATTGTAAGAAACATAAAAACTCCATTTGTTTGCTCAGAATATGCATCCCACAATCAGAGTTCCACTGTTTAGAAATTTCAATCATATGAGATTATTCAGAACCAAATTACCTACAGATGATAACACACTGAATTTTTTTTTCTTGAGACGGAGTTTGGCTCTTGTTACCCAGGCTGGAGTGCAATGGCGCGATCTCAGTAAACGCAACCTCTGCCTCCTGAGTTCAGGCAATTCTCCTGCCTCAGCCTCCTGAGTAGCTGGGATTACGGGCACATGCCACCATGCCCAGCTAATTTTTTGTACATTTACTAGAGACGTGGTTTCACCATGTTGATAAGGATGGTCTCGATCTCTTGACCTCATGATCCACCCGCCTCGGCCTCCCAAAGTCCTGGGATTACAGGCTGAAATTTTTATAGTGCATTGAGAATCCAATTAAAGAAAAAGTAATATTTGACTTTTTATCTTACACTGACAAAAGTAATGTGTTACTATTACAACTGTGACTCACACAGAGTGAAGGCAATTGAAATAACAAAAGTGGGAGTCAACATACTTTACTTCCGTAAACAAGGATCAGATATTTGATTTCACACTGAGTCTTTCCATCATCATTACAATACCACTAAACTTGCAGATGGCTTCTACAGCATCACATCTGTTGGCTGGGGTTTTATACCTTTGAATTCTTACAGTTGGGAGAGATGGCTGCTTAGACCACAGTTGTTGCCATACTCTTACCCATGTGGAAACTGAGTTCATAATATCTTCATCATTTGTTGTATTAATGCTGGTAACCACATTTAGACAGTGCTAGGAAAAGTAAAATGTATCCTGATGAGACAGTGGCCACGTTAACTGATTCTCCTGGCATCTGTGTGTCTGTTTATTGATTGTGTGGTCGAAACAAAATTATTTCTCTTTCCAGAAGAACTTGCAATAAAAGCCTGAACAGGTTTTCGCTTAGATTGACTTCAGCAGTTCCTCACTCAGGAGGTCTACAGAGGGGCTTCAGGAAACCAGAAACCACATGCACAAAGAAGTATTTTTTCTGAGAATGGGGCTTATCAGTTTCTCGGTGGTGGTTGTTTTTTTCAGGTTTTCAAAGGGTTCTGTGAGACCTCCAAAACTTGAGAACCACTTAGCCTCATCTGTCCACTCTGGTTTCTACCCCCAGAAGTTAACAAGTAGTCTCACTCCTGGATTACCTCCAGTACAAGACAAAGTGCATATTCTGTCTGTTCTACTGAGCCAGGGGAGCAGGGAAAGAACAGGAGACAGTAAGGACAAAATAAAATCAACATAAATGGGCAGCACAAAATAGAAAAAGCAGCGATGGCATCTCCCTTATTTCTGATATTTATCATATTTATCAGAAATGCTCTTCCCCACACATGCGTATACATGCTCCTTTACGTCACAGTTCTGTCCGTCCGCCCTTTCAAATAGATCATGAATCCTTGGCAATCAAGACCACAACTCTCACAGCATCCAACACAATAACTGCCCTGTGAGACATTCCCAACAAGTGTTTGCTGAATTTAATTGAAGTGAATTAATAGAAGAAGACATATTATGAATAGGTTATATAATGGTATACAAACTGAGGCCCAGAACTGAACCATTAGCCGTGGCTGTCAATCCAGACTTCCAGGCCCCAGTGCAGACGGAATTGGAACACAGGGACCCTCTCCTCACCTCTGCCCCTTTGTTTCCCGAACATGCAAATTCTGAGTAAAATAGAACAAAATACATTTTGTTTGGCTTTAGAGAGTTTGCATTCTTTTTCCCCAGCTTTACTGAGGCACCATTGATAAATAAAAATTGTATATATTTACGGTGTGTGATGTGATGTTTTAATATATGTATACATTGCGAAATAACTACTATAATCACAGTAATTCATACATTCACCTCACATAGCTACCATTTCTGTGTGTCTGAGGTAAGAACACTTAGAAAAGATTCTCAGCAAGTTTCAAGTGTGCAATATGGCATTGTTAACTACAGTGACTACGCTGTACATTCTATCTCTAGAACTTATTCATCCTGCACAACTGAAGCTTGCTATCCTTTGACCAACATCTCACCATCTTCCCCACTCCCCAGCCCCTGACAATCAGTATTCCACTCTCTGCTTCTATGAGTTTGACTTTTATGAATTTCACATACAAGTGAAATCATACGTCATTTGTCATGTGGTCTGGCTTATTTTACCCAGCATAGTATCATCCAGGTTCATTTGCTGTGATGGTGAAAACTGAGTGTCAACTTGATTGGACTGAAGGATGCAAAGTATTGCTCTTGGGTGTGTCTGTGAGGGTGTTGCCAAGGGAGATTAACATTTGAGTCAGTGGCCTAGGAGAGGTAGATCCACCCTTAATCTGGGTGGGTCTATCCCCTTGGCTGCCAGCAGGGCTAGAAAAAAGCAGGCAAAAGAAGGTGGAATGAGCAGACTGGCTGAGTCTTCCAGCCTCCATCTTTCTCCTGTGGTTGGAATATGAATTAGATTAGCCATTATGGAAAACAGTATGGAGGTTCCTCAAACAATCAGAATTACCATATGATTCAGCAATCTCATGATTGGGTATATATCCAAAGGAACTGAACTTTGTATGTTGAAGGGATATCTGCATTCCCACATATTAGAATTACCGTATGATCCAGCAATCTCAAGACTGGGTATATATCCAAAGGAATTGAACTTTAATCATCACGTACCCGTTAAATATTTGTTATTTTCTGTAGTTTTGGTTTTGACACTTCCTGCCCTCGAACACCGCACTCCAGGTTCTTCAGCTTTTGGACTGTTGGACTTACATCAGTGGTTTGCCAGGGGCTCTTGGGCCTTTGGCCACAGACTGAAGACTGTACTGGCTTCCCTAGTTTTGAGGTTTTAGGAGTTGGACTGGCTTCCTTGCTCCTCAGCTTGCAGACGGCCTACTGTGAGACTTCACCTTGTGACCGTGAGTCAATACTCCTTAGTAAACTCCCTTTCATATATACACCTGTCCTGTCAGTTCTGTCCCTCTAGAGAACCCTAATACATGTTAACACAAATGACAGGTTCTCCTTTTTTTTTTTGAGACAGAGTCTTGCTCCATCGCGAGGTGCCAGGCTGGAGTGTAGTGGTGTGATCTCGGCTCACCTCAACCTCCACCTCCCAGGTTCAAGCAATTCTCCTACCTCAACCTCCTGAGTGCAGTGCAGCACCACACCCATCTAATTTTTATATTTTAGTAGAGATGGGGTTTCACCATGTTGGCCAGGATGGTCTTAATCTCTTGACGTTGGGACCCGCCTGCCTTGGCCTCTAAAGGTGCTGGGATTACAGGCATGAGCCTCCACACCTGGCCAGGTTCTCGTTCCTTTTAAAGGCTGAATAATATTCCACTGCACGCTACATTCTTAAATTCATGTATCTATCAATGGACATTAGGTTGTTTTCATATCTTGGCTGTTGTGAACAATGCTGTGATGAACGTGGGAATGCAGGTATCTCTTCAACATCCTAAATTCAATTCCCTTGGATATATGCCCAGTCATGAGATCGCTAGATCACATGGCAATTCTAATTTTTTCAGGAACCTCCATACTGTTCTCCATAATGGCTGAACTAACTCATATCCCAACCAACGGTATATATGTTTCTTTTCTTTCTTTTTTCTTTTTTTTTTTTTTTTTTTACTTTTTCACAAAAACTTATCTTTGTTTCTTTGAGAATAGCCATCATAATGGGTGTGAGGTGCTATCTTATTCTGGTTTTTATTTGCATTTTCATGATGATTAATGAAGTTGAACACATTTTCATATACGTGTTGGCCATCTGTATGTCTTCTTTTGATAAATGTCTACTCAGGTCATTTGCTTATTTTTTAGCTAAATAATTTTCAATTATATAGTTGTGCTGAAACCAAGAAAGGGAAATCTCCAGGTATGCAAAGTCAAGAGAAAACTGAAGTCACAGAAGTAATATCAGAGTAGATGCTGAAGCCAGAATAACATCAGACATACCCTAAGTGTCTGCAGTCTTGATAATCCTGTGGGCACTGGGTCCAGATCACAGACCACAGGGAGCTGGAGAGAGTTACTCACCAAAAATCAGGACATGCAAGTCCTGGAGAATTCTGCCCTCAGCCTGGAGAAGCAGGAGAGAAGCTTGGCATCAGCTTGGGGGCTGCGTGGTAGAATCAGCTGAAGAAACTAGAGTCCTCTTAGCCTGAGACAAGGAGGATGTTGGGACTCAGGAAATCTAGGCTAAGAAATGACCCTAAAAAACCAGGCCCGGAACTAGGGAAAGCTCCTAGGAGCTCTTGCAGGAAAATAAAATCACCTGTAAAGAACAGTTCTCTAGCCCAGAGCACACAGGAGTGTCCTGGAAAGCCACCACATGAACGTGAGCCCATAGGCAAAGGAGTCTAAAGTGTTAAAGAACCCTTTTAAATCACCTCCAGTGACCACATTTCTATATAACCAGATATAAAGACCTAAAATAGAAGCGAGCCATATCTGCTGGAAAATTCTAAAATGGTCTTCTGAACAACTCTTGGATTCAGGAAGGCATCAAAACCGCAACGGCAGACAATAAATGTTTAATGGGTACAGATGAAAACAGTTGGCCACTAGGAATAAGTAGATTTTTTCCCTGTGTTTATTTTCCAATCTTTCTCCTGCCCTTTCCAACAGAGAATGGGAATTGATAGAGTTGCTCACATTCCAGGACTCAGATTGGGATATATCTGTTAGAGATCAATATTAAAAACAGACCCATAGGTCTGAATGTTCTGCACTTCCCTTCCGGAAAACTGGGATGACAACAACAGCACCTGTTCCTGGATGGGAGAAGGCAGGAGCATCTCACCTTTCTCTCTCTCTTCCTCCACTGGAGACCCTTCCATGGTCTAGACCAGCTTGACACCAGACATTCTGCAGTAA